AATAATAATAGTCTGTGTGTCTGTGCATGCACAAACTTGGTAACAGAATTTGCAAGAAGAGTTTGTATGGGCCTAGGTACATGAAATTAGAATAAAATTAGGTGGACATTGTTCTTGCAGTATGCAATAACATTGGGATTGCTTGGCAGATGCGGCATAAATGACATTAACTGTATTTGACATATTTTCAATCTTGAATGTATGAATATACATTTTAACAGGGAGCAAGGACCTGTACAGCACTATGAGAAGTTAGGAGCTTGCTTCCAGCACACTTGAGGGAAGTGGGGTATAGATGATGGCTCAAATCCAAGTCTAACTTTTGTTGTAGTTAAGATTTGAATATAAACTGTGTGAAATTGTAATGGTTTTATTTTTAAAACACTTCAACCCAAGTAGTCCAACCACTGTTGAAGGGGGAAAAAAAAAAAAAAGACTATTTTCAAAAGGTAACAAGGCTGTAATACCAAATTAGGTTTTTCAATAGGAATAAAGAGCCTTGATAACAAAATCTGATTTTCTCCCCCTTGATAGATATCAAAGTTGTGGGTCATCAAAGAAGGTTGACCCGCCTCCCATCATCTTCTATAATGACAAAGTCCAACAGGCCCAATCCTAGTGATCTCCTCTACAATGGTGTGTGGATGTTAATTATATCATTATAGCTGCCCAATGACCAAAGCATTTGAAGTTATTTCTCACTGTCTCTCTTTTTATATAGATTTAATGGTAAATAAGATGCATAATGGTGTTTGACGCTTTCATATGGTGCCAGCATGATCTCACTTTATGTTCCTATGTGATGTTCCCCACACAATGTGCTGCTGTCATCACCGCTACTTTCCTCACTTAGGAAAGAAAGAAATATCCCGTTCCCAGTAGAGGTAGCTCCTGTTCCCTGGCCAGAGTGTTTTGAGGTAGTAAGCAAGTCCTTAGAAACCAGTTTGTCAGTGGAATGTAATGAAAACATACACAGAATGTTTGCAGAGCCAGTTTCTTGGATACTTCTATCCAGACATTTTTAAAGATCAGATATACTCTCACTTTGATAAGACGCCCTTCTATTTGATTCTCCTGAGTTCTATTTGGATTGTCAGTTTTTCTATCATAGCAAGTCATGAAGACGGGAGTGTTACTAATTCTCACTTCTTCACTAATCTACAAACTTGGTTACTCCATTTCCCCAAAAAAGCTTTGTTAGACGTTACTATGGCACTCTGCTCATTACAAAGATATAAAATATTTTGAAAAACATGCTACTATGATGTATTAAACTCTACTTAATAATATTAGTGGACAAAGTACTCCATGATGTAGTCTTATTTTAATATGCAAAAATTGTTAATCTACTATGCATCGTCCATTTGTTTCTGTGGTTCTGTTATATGTAGTGTCTATGTCTTATCCATATTTGTGTGGTGTTGTCTATGTATGTATCTAATTTATAATCCGAAATAAGTAAATAAACATTTCAAACAAAAAATCCTCTAGAATTTTTGAAAGTGGCCAAATGTCACACTAAAATAAACTAAAATGCAACTAACTTTTAAAGTTTCTTCAGGCTCTTTGATTATTGTGTGTACAAACCAATTTGCGGGACTTGTTTTTTTTAAGCCTGAACAGACTAACTGGAGGGAGTACAGTACATTGAAATAAATGCTAAGAGTTATATTAGCAGTATTTATGTTTGTTTGGTTTTGTGCATGATATAAAGGGAGATGTTGGTAATATTTTGCAGTAATAAGTATTGTCTCTCAGAGGTTTTTTTGGTTCATTTTTAGTCAGATATCTGTCTCTGATACACTCTCAGAAGGTGTGCATCTATTTTGATGCACATGAATAAATCCTGTTTTCCCTATGTGTTGTTAAATGCATGCATTAAGAGATGATACAGTACTTGAATGTCTAGTTTGACTCTTTTTCTTGGCCATTGAAAGATGAATCTTTAGCTAGATTATTGTTTGACCACAAGGGCTGTACATTTATGTAGTTTGTGAGCACTATATTGTATTATAATGATCCTATACATTTTGTTGGTTAATAGGCACTCAGTGATAATCCCACTGTAAAAATTCTTATCCTGGAGTGTCCTTCCTATTTGAAGACTTATAACACTGAGCTACTGTCAAGTACACCTGACCATCAGCATTTCCCAGTCAGTACAATTAGCATCCACAAAATCCATAATCCTATCAGTACTGTAATGAGTCTCACTGCATGCACATATGGATTTTTGTACTCCACATAATTCTTTCACCAAAGGTAGAGAAAACTAATTTGGACCATGTTGTATGCAATCTCTATTTCTCACACGTTTCCCCCCCCCCCTTCTTTCCATTTCTCATGTTGTCTCTCTCCCCCACACCACTTAAATAATAACAAATAATTTAGACAATCCTAGTTGTTTTAATTCAGTAGAGGGTGCCACTGGCAAAAATTTTCTGGGCAAAAGGGTGGTGTCCTTTGCAACTCCTGGTGCTAATAATCCTCAAGATGTAAAGTGTGGTGGAGTAAAGATAACTTCGTTTCTTTGCAATTCTCAACTCTTTTAAAAATACCTATCTTGGATTCACTAGTTCATTTTAATCTGCATTTTGCCTTTCAGCATATTTTTAAAATATATGTGTTAGAACAGTTCATCCTGGAAGCAGGTTTTGTAGTCCTCTTGCCTCTTTGAAATATGTTTACCAATAGTTTGTTTTTAAAATACCTTTCTCATTGTAATTTTCATTTCCAGTGACATGGCTGTTGATACAGCAGGCTGTTGGAGAAGATATTAAATATGTATGTTCAGTGTCTTCTTCATTTTCCTTTTGGTCTTGCCAGTTTAATTTTAAGTGCAAGGTCCTGCAAGTTTGTTTTTTGTTTGTAGTGTGTGTTGCACAGTCTAATAGCAGTTTGTCTAGGTCATATGCCTCAGAGAGGATTTTATTTCAGGGTCTGTGTCTGCATTTATTACTTCATTTTTCGACAACAGTTTTTAAATTTTTTTGGCAGAGTTTGAATTAGTTTCTGATGGTTGGATGCAGCTGTGAGTAGAGAACTGGGAGTGGTGATTTTTTTTTTTTTTTGATTTGGGAATTTTTGACAAATTGTGAACATGTCTTTTATGAATGGGAGAAAAATGGGTTTGATTTTAAAGTTATTTGATTTTAGAATAAATGATGTAAATATGCACTGAGCAGGGGGAAGGAGATGAGTTGCAATAGTTACTTGGCTACTGTAGCCTAACGCTGTTGTGGAGCCATTTTGCTACTGTTTCATTGGCTGCCTACAAAGAGTATTCCATCCCTCTGCACCAATCTCCTTTACTTGGGTTGACATAGAGTCCAGGATTCACCTCTTAATAGATTAAGCCAACTTGAAAGATACTCAGTGTTCCCGATTTTTCATACGAATGTGGGAATCGTAATATCAGGTCTGCGGTCTTTCTAGGACAATATACTATATTTTACAGTGGCCAGTACCAGATGCTTCAAAGGAAGGTTAACCTCCTCCCTAAAAATTAAACAAACAAAAAGCCCCTCAAATGAAATAACCTGAATATAAGGGAAGTTTCTTTCTAACCTTCTACTTTCTGTGTTTTTAAAAAATAAATAAATTGTGCATTAGACAACACACCCATGAATTCAGATTATTTTTATACTACCAATCAGACATATTGAAACTTATTTTTCCCATTGGTTCATAACTTTGTGAGTCTGTGTTCCCTTTAGGCTGAAACTTGTGACAGTCTGGCCCTGTTTTGTAAATGAAAATAAATGAATTAAAATGTTTTGCATACAGATAAGATCAAGTAAATGGAGCACTTCTAACAAATGTGGATGGTGGATGAAATGGAAAGATTTTTATGAAATTCAAAAGACATTATTTTACACATACAAAGGGAAATCTATCCACTACCCACATTTAAAGTATGTTAGATTCTGGTGCAAACTTCAAGTCTAGAAATTCACTTTTGGGGGTTAAAAAGATCAGTGTAATTTCACAACTTTCACCATTTTTAATGCTACACAGTTTAGTCTCATGGTGCTTATTACCCGTTGAAGGTTTTAACATTACGTATGAATTTTCCATACTTTTGTGAGTATAAGCAAAAGTCTTAATTTATTTTAAAATGAGTATAAAAAGTTTTTTTCTACTTTATTTTTCTACGTGAAGTAACATGAGATTGAATATCTGCAGTATATACTCATTCATGTATACATATCTACACTGTGTGTTTATACATACTGGGGACACACAAGGCGTGAGAGAGAGACATTGGGAGTTGGATCAGGCCCTTAGGGACCACCAGTCACTGTATTATCTAAGTACTGATATTGAAAAAAATAAAGGGCTTCAAAGACTTACAGCAAAAGGTGAGCTTTGCTCTCACTTTTCTGGGGGTTAGTTGATAAGTATTCATTTTGTACGTTTTATTGCATTATGAGAGAGTTTGAAATAAGAAGATGAGTTTCTGCCTGCCTTCATATCACACAGTCTTCATTTAATTTGAGTAATCCTTTTACTAAACATAAATATTTTAAAGGCCGTATAAATTGATGTATGCATTCTTTTTCAAGAAAAAAAATATTTGCATCAACAAATGTACATAGATTTCTAAATGCAAATTATAGTATTCAGATATTTTAAAGTTAAAAAAGGAAGTAACACCTTTAGTTGTAAAGAATGTTCATGGTGATACTATTTACTGTTAGAATTGCAGCTGTTGTGTGTAGCACCATTTTAATCTACTACTCCCATGTACATTAGTAAAATCCAAAAATAATGTACCATTTTAATTTCAATTGCCTCTTTCCTAGATGTGTTGGGTTTACCCTAGAACCATTAGTACCAGATTTATTTTGTTAGGTTGTTACAGTTCTGTGTTTTTATTCTGTTACTACTTAGTGTCATGATTTGAAGAATGGAACATGAGCTGTTGTTTTATGTGGTAATTTTTCTTATAACCTTTTGGCAGTAAACACTTTACTTTATAAATTATTTGCCTTTTTCAGAGGCAGATTTCCCCAGAAGGATTTGGAGGCACTGTTTCCTGGGATGAGTGCCGATTTCACTAGTGAAAACTTCTCCGCTGCATGGTATTTGATAGAAAACCATTCAACAACAAGGTTTGTGGACAATAACAATGTTTTTAAAACATCCGACAGTATTTGTATTGTTACTGAGCATCATAGATATCAATGGTGGTAGTAGTGGAAGAAATGTTTGTACTGCAGTAATGTCCAGAGGCCCTAGTCCGATTTGGGCCCCATTGTGGTAGGCAATGTACAGACACGCAGTACAAAACAGTAAGGCTTTTAATCAGCAGGCATGTGAAATGCGGTAATAGAAAAAGGTAGGACCCTCCAGTGAGATTCATGGGGTGAAGTTTTGGAAATTTTTGCCAATGACTCCATCATAATGCTTAGGAAGAGCAACTTCTAGCTTTTGCTTGTGTGCAAACCTTCAGAATTGTGTACACAGAACTTGCTCTCATAGCCGCCTAATTCAAAGCCCATTGAAATTAATGGAAACATTTTCCTGATTTCAATAGAATTTTGGTCAGGCATGGGATCGTGGTAGTTACATGGATACATTATGTACATACACTTTTGCATAAGCAACTGAACATGCACAATTCTGCAATTTTTGACTACAGTAGATTTAATGGAGGATGGAGCACTGTTTAAAAAAATGTGAATTTTAATATTCTTGTAATGATATTAGCTTGAAACCGGGTATTGAAATAAAGACTTCATTTGGTGTAGTAATTTTCTCTTGCATTTTAGTGGTAGAACGTGTTCAGTTTACCAGGATCCAAGAAGGCTATGACCACTTTAAATGAAAAGCACACAGTTGTTTAGATGGGCATAGAATACTTTTCATTTACTCCTGAATTGAAACTATGACTGAAAGATCTCTAATTATAAGACAAAAGAGCTGCTCCAATAGCAAGGGAACAGTATGTTCCAATACATGTGTAAGAAGAAGAGTGTATTTGAAATAAAAGTAGTTGGGAGGAAAAATTACTAAAATGACTTTTCATTAGTTGTCTAAGCTCTATGAGCCTGATTCTGGCATCTTTACTTACAGTGAATAGTAACTCAGTGGGACCACTCATTGTAAAGATTGCAGACTTGAGCCCTAAAATAGATCTTTGTGGTTACCATTCAGGAACTGTTAACAGGACCAGGAATCTATCTTTTGGTTTACCAGGATTTAACTGGAATGTAAGCAACAGAATAATTCCACAATCAGCTCTCCAATAAAACAGTATGTCGATGAATAAAATACTGAAATTGTGGCTGTTGAGAAGATGCTGCTGGCCATGAGTTGAAAACATAAATAACTACATAGACAACAACGTAGCTTGACATAGACTTACTTTCTTAACGGTTTCACATTGTTGTGTTGGATCAGTGCCTAGTGATGCATTCATGTGTGAAGCCTCATATTAAAATGGCATGTTGTTACATTTTTCTGCCCATATTAACTCAAGGCATGGAATCTGTCTTTGGAAAATAATTTGTCACAACTTTCTACAAAACCGTTCTTGTGAAGTACAAATTATTGTTGTATAGCTTTCTTTATTTGCTTATCTCATTAAGCTGTTTTTTGCATTGGGTCCACTGCTCTGGGCTGAAGCCATAATTCATAGGTATTTCTGTTCAAGCCAATGCAATGGGGGCAGAGTGCACCTTTATTTTGTATTGATTTATTTTTAAATGGAAAGCACTTTCTGTTTGCATGTTTGCTGAACCAACTCATCATAAGTATAAACAAGGAACAAGGGTAGGGCAAAGTGAAGGAAAACTGAAAATTTAAAGTGGCAAAGATGCAAATATTTTTTCAGACTAGTAACAGCAAGGAAGACTTGAATGATAGATATGATTTGATGATGATTCAGAGGTGATTATAGATTAACAGACAAAGTTGTGGATTAAGGATAATTCTGAATCTGCTGGATCTTTAACTATTTTCCCAAGGCTAGAAATTTCAAAAACATGGGACGAAGAAGACGTTACCCAGGTGGAGCAGAACATCAGAGTTTCAGATATTCAGTACTAGGAAGTTATGGGGTGTGTTTGATAGAACAAGTACATAAATGAGAACTAGAAGACTTAAGAGTTAATTAAGAAGGATAGACATAATCAAGGACAGATCCATGCCATGAGCTAATACTGAAAGAAAAATGTAAAAAGATTCCACTGAGTAGGCTTTCATTGACATAGAAATGGTGGGGCACAAGGTTGGGATTTGGGACTCCTGACACCTGTTCCTAACTTTGCTACTACTTTGTTGTGTAACCTTGGGCAAGCTAGTTAGGGTAAAATTTTCAAAAATGCCAAAGTGACGATTAAGTCCCACTGAAAGTCAGTGGGATGTAACTTGCTATGTCATTTAAGGTTTTTCAAAATTTTAGCTTTGTCCTCTCTGTACCTCAGTTTCTTCATTGCTAAAGTGGAGAGAATACTCATCCCATTTTGTAAAATGCTTTAAAATGTATTGATGAAAAGCACTGTATAACTACTAGGTGGCATTATTTTGGCCCCCACGTACCTTACTTGTGCTGTTGTGTTGTTGTTTTTTCAGAAGAGCGCAGCATATCCTTAATGTCCCTACCCTTTATTTAACCCCAGGTAGCAGGAACCCTGAATGTGTGGAACTTTGATGTTTTGGTTAGCTCATGTATGTTTTTTCCTTGAAGGAAATTCAGATTTTTTTCACCCTAAAATTATTTTCCTGACAGAACATTATAACAAGTATAAACAAACTCTTCAGACTTCATATTAATTTATCAGCTAACAGGGAAACATTAGTTAAAAGAGAGCAGTGCTGATTTTGTTGAGCCCAGCAGTCTGAAAGTGCTGCTAGTAAGAAGTTCGTATTGTACACCCAAATAGGCCATTTCAGACAGTGAGTAATATGATTTCCGACCAGCAAATGGAAACGGGAAATAAAGCAAAACATTGTGACATCATCCCTGTATAAAGGGAAATGCCTTTGCACAGTGCACCAGTGCTTTCCTGTCTCGCAGCAGGTGGGGATCACTTTCTGACTGACTGAGCTCAAATTAGTTAGTTTTTAGTTTGTTCTTTCAACAAATCTTTTACTAATGCTTTTAAACTGACAGTTTTTGGTACTATTGTGTTAGGTGTATCCACATTGGTGGATTTTTTAATTTCCATCCCTCACTGTCTTCTTGAGCAGTCATTGTTTAAAATTTTTTGAAATAGCTTTGAAAAATCACACTTTTTTCTAATTATAATTGGTATTTCCATGCTTACTAATGGTGGCTAATTAAGTAAGCTAACTTGTGATAACTTGTCCCTGAATACAAGAAACAAATAGTATATGTGTAGTGGTTAATCATGAATTACAGATATTATTACTTTGAAAATAATCAAAGCTAGTTGAAACTAAATTTCCAATTTAAAAATTTCACTAAAGCAAAAACGGATAAAAAATCTAGGAGTACTGAGGAGCAGTAATATGGAAATATATCTAGTATAGGAGTGACACTGGACAACTAGTTAGACATGAATATGCAATGCAGTATAGTAGCAAAAAACCCAGTAGGCTGCATGTGCAAAAGCATAAAGGAATGGAACAGGAATGTGTTTTTCTCAAAGGCTTTGATGCAAAATTGCATTTAGTTCGGGACCTCATTATCAAGAAGATGTTGGTAAATTTTGAGTGACTTTGGAAATTAAAAACAAAAGTGAATGGGATTAAGTTTAAAAGAGTTAAATGTACATTGTTTGGCTAAGTGTACACAGAAGAAAAGAGGTAAAAGCAGGTAATTATGTAGGATGGTACAGTGCAAGTGGATATAGCTTGGAGCAATAGGGTGAAATTTAGAAAGGGAAAACTTAGGATCAGTATCAGGCAAGACTTCCTGACTGCGAAACCTACGTAGTGGAAAATCTCTTCTAAGAGAAGTGATGGAAGCCCCTCATTTGGGAAAACTAGATTGTTCAGAACTCTAGAAATGTAACATGAAGAACAATTCTTCGTTGGCAGGAATATGTAGTAGATAACCTAATAAATCTCTCCCTTGTCTAATACTCTGTGATATGATAAAATACTGTAAATTACCATGTCCTGTGTGCTAAATTTTAATACATGACTTTTATTGTATCAATCCCTTTTCATTGTATCAACGACAGTGTTTCTTCTTTGCTTAATTTCAGTTTTGATCAGCTCAAAATGGCAGTCATGAATCTGAAGAAGCAGGCAAACAAGAAAAATGAGGGGAGTCTAGCATATGTGAAAGGAGGTCTCAGCACTTTTTTTGAAGCACAAGATGCCCTGTCAGGTAAATTGATTAATGATCATCAGCAATATAAAAGAAAAATCAAATATTCGTATAGAAAATCTATTTTAATTTACTCATTTCAAAGTAAAAAAGTATGAAGAAGGAAAATAGATTATGACTAACCTAAAATTCCAAATGATCAAGGTTGCAAGATAGGACTGGCCAGCTAGATGTACTAATCAGTGAAAGATGGGCACCAAAAAACCTGCTAGGTATCAAAGATATTCCAGGAAGATTGCATAATCCACAGTATGAAATAATCTAATGAAATCCAGAAGAGCAAGAAAAACATACTAAACCAGAGCTGACAGAAAGAAGATAAATTTCAGACTTTAGGAAAATAGTCTTGGTGCTGTGATGTCTCATCCTGAATTTAGATTGAAATGGTTACCAGTGTACAGTAAGTTCTGACTTGAGAAATCAGGCCAAGAATTTCAAAAATAATTCTAGTCTCTCAATTTTGGGGCGACCAATTTGATAGAGAGGCATTATTTTCATTGAGCCCATCCACCCGCCGAAAAGTAAGGGCCCTTTAAGGTGTTGCAAGATGAGCATGCAAATCTGAGCACTCCTAAATCACTGTTCAGTAGAAAATCTTGGCCTAAGGCTATTTTAATAAGAGACGAGAAATTCTGATGAGACAAAATCTTTTGGTGGCAGGTTTGAGTGATGTAACTAAGTGGAGAAAAATAGAGTAGGGTGACTACTATCATTTTAAAGGATCCTAGTACTGCTGGTCAGGTTCTAGTTACCTTTGCAGTGGTTCTAATGACCACGGTTAAAGCTTTCAATAGCTTTTAGAGGTGGGGAGGGATCTCGTTCTCTTTAGGAAGTGCATCACAGAAATGTGATACTGTGCTTGTGGAACATTTATAGTCTGTTACTGTGTTTATAGATCTAGTAACTGCCATAGATGTTTAATAGTTGCAGACAAAAGTGGAATAGGAAAGAATATGCTGAAATGTCATTTTAGAGGGCTTGTTACTTCCAACGTCTGTAACAGACATTTTCTTACATGAAAAATGCTGATAGATCATGTTTTATTTTTTTTCAGTAATCCGAAATCACCTGGGCAAATCTGAAATCCTAATTTATAAATAATCCTAAATCTATGAGTTAATGTGAAAATTTGACTTTAAATTCCTATGATTACACCCAAATTCTTTTTGCTGTAGAGATAATATAATATCAAAATATACTCCACTACAGTTCATAACACACTTTTCCAACAATAACAACAAAAAGGTAGTCCTAATGGATATGTGGTAACTCTGCATGTGACTTCTTGGAAGATTATTTTGGGAATTCTCTTTTCTCTGACTTATGAAGGCTGGGTGGGGATTTGCAATGCATTATTATAAAGTGTGTGTCTTTTCAGTAAGACCAAAAAACTCGTCTGCAGTTGTTTCTCTTGTCCCTTCCTTGTGAATCCATGCTCTGTAAGACCAGCCTCATAAGAGATTAAGAGGCCAGAGAGCCAGCCAAACTACAAGTTTTTTTTAGAGTTAATTTTACAAATATTAGCCAAACAAAAGGAAAATTGCAAAGCACCATTTATTTCATTTAAAAAAGTGTCTGCTTGAATACAAAAATAGTTGCTAGCATAATACCTTTCTGCATTTTTCAGCTGGTATTCTGCAGCTTTCCAGTAGCCTCATTCAGAGTGTTTTAGCTGAACTAATTCTGTGCTTTCATTTCTGTTCATTTTAGGGGCATATCCCCCCATCTAAAAAAAAGTCTTAGTGCAGCTGCTTTTGTATTATAAGCACTATGAATTGAAAGAAGAGTACTGTAGATCTTGGTGTCACTTTGTGCCTATGATCAGTGACGTGGTTTGAGTCTTCCTCCCAGAGACCCCTAATGAGCATTCAAAAGGAAACAGACTTGTAGTTTGTGCCAGTGTAAACAGTGAATAAAAAAAAAAATCATTGAGAGGAGAAGAATGACCCTGATGCTGATGCTGCTGAAAATTAGCATCTTTAAGGCTTTGAATCTCCTCCTTGCATTCAGACCTGTAGCATTAGAATTGGAGGGCGTTTTGTATTTGATTTCTAAAACTAATTCTTGGGGAGGACACAATTAGAGCTATGGGAATAACTAGTTTTTGATTTGCTGGCATTTTCGAACAATCTAAAATAAATTTCACTTAGGGCAGAACAAAACATTTCATTTTGACAAAATAATTTCATTTTGATTTTGACTATATGTAAACGTTTGATTTAAAAAAATGAAATTTTGAAACAAAGTTGTTTTGAACCAAAAAAATCAAAACATTTTGTTTAAAAAATGTCAAAACAATTTTTTAAAATGTTTTTAGTCTTTGTCCCCTCCTTCCCCAAGTTAAACAATTTGGTAAAACTGACACAAGTCTGCAGACTATTTGTGACACCAAATCTACATTTTTCACTAAAAGATTTGGCTGAAAAATTCCATCCGGCATTAGTTATAGTCTATTCCCTTTCCCCAGCGTTCAGTCACCCTCCCTCCCCATGTTTCCCGTCCCCATTGGCTCCTCATCTAGTCTGTCACCATTCTGCTGCTGTTCCTTGACCCAGTCTCTTTATGCAGCCACTCCCAGTTCTTCCCCCGCATCCTGGTTTCTCATCAGATCTGTTTTGCCTTCATCTTTCTCCTTCCTCCAACCGGGGTCCCAGTTTCATTGTCCAGTCAGTACCAGTCTACCCCCATCCCAATACCCAGTCTTACTCTCCCACCCCGATCAGCTTCCAGTTCCAGTCTCCTTATCACACTCCTTGTCCCACTCTACTCCTGGTAGGTTTGGCTCTTGTCTCCCTGCATTCAAATCAGGCAACTCCCTATACACCACGTTGGCATCAGTAGGGGAGGGCATTCAGAGTTCAGGAGAGAGACTCTCCCTGCTTTCAATTCCATTTCTTGACCAGAATCCAAAACAGCCTGCAGCATCCCAAAGTTGCAATTGCAGGGATAATCCTGCTCAGCCCCCTGCTGGCCTGAGCAGGAGCATGCCAAGAATGGAAATTTTAGCTATTAAATTCTAGCATGTATTTATGAGCATGTACAAATTGCAAAATTTTCAAAGGCGTATAACTTGGCCCAATGATGGGTGGATTTAACAGGGATGGCAAAAGGCACATCTGTGACAGGCTGCCCTTTGACCAAATTTCAAGTTCCTGCACCAAAGCATGGGGGCTCTTGAGTTTCTCAAAGAGAAGGTTACCAGAATTTTTTAACATGGGCAAAACAATTTATTTTTCTCTAGCCTCATTCTCAGAAATGGCTGAAACTTTTGGCTGAAAGTTTCCAAAAACATTCAGCCTGAGTCAGAGACCTGGCATGGAACATTTCAACCCAATCTCTTCATCAGAGTTGTTTATATTCAATTACAAAGCCCCATTACACTTAAATGTAGGAGTTTATTATTATTTGTTGATGTTGTAGGTTATACAGTATTAATTTGCATAGGGAGTTATAATGCTGGTGATGTCTTCCCATGCAAGTACAGTGGAATTTCCATGTAATATTTTTCCTCATTTAAATTCTAGACACGTCTTTTTGTTTTTAAACTGAGCTACATCAGAGACAGCTGATATTTTAAAGCTGAAATGTGGCTTCAACATAATCCTTAATAAAGAATATAAGCTTGATTCTGCAAACTGCTTCACTAAATAGCTGTTAAACTATACAGCTGTCAAAGTATCACATGAACTAGAGAGAGAAAATACATCTTAGATCACATCTAGTCCATCTCTCCTGCCAATACAGTCTAAATGTCCTGTGTTTATTGAATTTCCTCCACTTCCTGACAGGAAATCCATTAGATTGTGGAATAGCCTCCCCACAGGAGGCATTCCATGATAGCCTACATTTTCCCTATCAGTTTTATCCCAATACCGCTATATTATCCCCAAACAATTTTTTTCCACTCTTTGTTTACTCCTCTCAATTATTTGTGAACTATTACCATGTCCACCTTTTTTCTGTTTAACAAAGCAACCTACTTCTAGTTCTTTTTAATCTTTCCTCTTAAATTGGTTTTTCCTAATCAATAGTCATTTTTGCTTCGTTTTCTTGAACTCCTTAATTTGTTGTGAAATCTACAGTATTAAGAAATCACCACATTTCATAGTAAAATTTTATTGAGAAATAGAATGCTATGTCACCTGACCCCAGGTGTTTTGTATTTTCATTTAACTGTAAAGTGGAAGAACAAATATGTTTGTACATTTTTAAGCTTACATTTTTAACAATTTTTTTTTTAAGATAAAGGGCCGGATCTTGCCTACAGTTATTCACAGATTTATGTGTGGCTGCTCCTGTTAGTAAGGGCTTGAAAGATTGGACCCAGATTTATTAAGTAGACTGTCAAAACTGATGAAATCTTTACATCAATTTCAATGTATCTTTACAAAAAATAAATAAGTGAAAAACATAAAGAGTTGTACCAAAAGATGCTTCTTACATTGTGCAATTTGGAAAGTGTTTACTAAGAAAATAAGAGGTCAAGTAGGCCAGACATATTGTTATTTGGTTTAATTTCCTGGAAAATAAGAATGCCTTATCAGATCCCCATGTCTCTTTGTCCGTTAGCTTGGCTGACAGTTTGACAGTAACTTTACTATAGAGGAGATGTTCAACAGGAAGTTTGCTTTGTCAGTGAAAGGAGGCTGTAAACTGAACTGAGGGGAACAAGGCTCACCTCAACTTGACCCATTTGTCAGCATCAGTTATGTAGCTGGTTTATTTCCCATAATACTAATGGTAACCTAGAAAGTAGCATTCCAAACAGGGCTACTGTTCCTTTCATCGTATTGCCTTTGACAGACCACATACCGCCATAAAAGATTCTGGACAGATAGTAATCTAATATATATTTTAAAATGAACTCTTTAGAATCTTTACACTGCAAGATTTCTTTTTAGTTAAGTACAGATTAGAGACATACACATTTGCATTTACTAAATTACCTGAATTTTCAAGTGTGTGACAGTCACATTACCAGTTATCTTTCTTCCTGCCTT